TTCTTCTGTTGATTGACTGTCATTTACCAAGCAAGCAACATGGTTCTTTGTTTAGATTTTTAAAAAATATACCTAAGCCACCAAAAATTCTTACTCACTTTTATTGCTTCAATGAGGAGTGTCAAAGATTACTTGTGTTTAATGCTGGGAATGTAATAACAAATTGTGCATGTGGTGCTGTCTGTGACAAGAATGATTTGAAAACTCTAGGATATTTCTTTTTACAAATACCTTTGAAAGAGCAGCTTCAAAAATTATTAAGTGATAAGAACATAAAGAAACAGCTCAGGTGGGATGATCCTGGATAAAATGATGTACTAAATGGAAGAATTTATAAAACTCTTGTGAAAAGTGGGGCCCTGTCTAAGCCTGATATAACTTTACAATTTAACACAGATGGTATTCAGATTTTTCAAATCTTCTAATAATGAGTTATGGCCGTTTCAAGTTTATATTAATGAACTTTCATACAAAATGCGAAAAAATAACATATTACTTGCTGGGTTGTGGTTTGGCCATGGCAAACCAAATTTGAATGCTTTTCTTGATTGATGAAATGAGTTAAATAAGTTGCACGACAAAGGATTTAATTGTGAAGATGGTACTCATATCAAAGTTCATACTATTATCTCATCAATTAATTCAATGGTTAGAGCTTCTTTACAAAATTTAAAAACCTTCCGAGGCAAAAAACGATGTTTTTTCTGCTTGCATGATGGTGAAGAACATACAGTTGGCCGAGGTAAAACAAGAGTTTATCGAGATGATATAGGTCCAAGAAGGATTCACAAGCAATATTTGAGAAATACTGCTCAAGTAATGCGAACAATAGCTGTGGTGAATGGAATTAAAGGACCGTCTGTTCTCCTACTTTTGAAGGGCTTTAACGTAATATCATCTTTTGTACCAGACTACATGCACTGTGTACTTCTTGGGGTAGTAGAAACAATGATTAGCTGGTGGTGTCGTGGTCAAAACAAAAATGAACCTTTTTATATTGGCATAATGATGCAAAAATTAATGAAATTGATAATATACTTCTGACCATTAAACCACCAAGTGAAGTTACAAGGACACCTCGATCGCTACATTTAAGAAAATATTGGAAAGCTTCAGAGTGAAAAAATTTCTTGCTATATTATTCTATAGTATGTCTACAGGCAGTTAATTTCCCTAAGAAATATCTTGATCATTCTCCTTCTAGTGTACAGCATGGCAATATTTCTTCAAGAGCATTTTTTAACTGAAGGATTAGACCAAGCAGAAGAAAGAGTTTGTTCTCAAAATTGAGGAAATTTATAAAGAACCGGTGCTCATGAAATTTAATTTTCATTTACTATTACACATTCCGCAAAGTGTTAAAGACTTTGGATCTTTGTGGAGTGTATCTACTTTCCCTTTTGAACACTACAACGGAGTGTTGGGGAAAATGTTCCAGTCATCTCAGGCAGTACCTCAGCAAATTTGTAAAACATATCTTAGACGGCAAACTTTAAAGGAAATGGCATTAGAATTATTTCAAAATAATCAAACTCCAGCTTGTGTACAACATCTTTATGCGGAACTTTCTTTTGAGCAAAGAATTTCATACCGTTCAAAGGTTGACGAGTCTCTGAGATTGTTAAGTGTTCCTACTCTGGATACTTTAACTTTAGTACAGGAAAATGTAGTTGAAAATGTTTTGAATAAAAATGATCAAAATCACAACATTCGTTTCTACAAACGATTCATTTTTGAAAATGTACTGTGACGGGGCAACCCGTCACCAGAGTTGCAAACTCTGACCATAGTTGCAAACTCGAGCCGGCTAGCACCGAGAGCACCGAGGTGTTGGGAGCCACTGGGAACACGCACACAAGCGAGAACCGCCGTCCGTGTGTATGTTCCACGCACACGGACGGCGGTTCTCGCTTGTGTGCGTGTTCCCAGTGGCTCCCAACACCTCGGTGCTCTCGGTGCTAGCCCGCTCGAGTTTGCAACTGTGACTCTGACCCGCTAGCACCAAGAGCACCGAGGTGATGGGAGCCACTGGGAGCACGCACACAAGCGAGAACCGCCGTCCGTGTGCGTGACGTCACGCTCGGCACTTCGGCTCGTGGAAGAGTGCAGACGTATTATGATGTTCC